TGGAGAAGGGAAGGATCCAGGGAGAGCTGGGAATGTTCCCCTGGAGAAGGGAAGGATCCAGGGAGAGCTCAGAGCCCCTTGCAGGGCCTGAAGGGGCTCCAGGAGAGCTGGAGATTTGGGATAAGGGATGGAGGGACAGGACACAGGGAATGAAGGAGGGATGGGTGCGATATTGGGAAGGGATTGTTCCCTGTGAGGGTGGGGAGGGGCTGGGATGGAATTCCCAGAGTGTGGAAGTGTCCAAGGCCAGGTTGGACGAGGCTTGGAGCCACCTTTGCTGCTGGCACGGGATCTGCTTTTCCCCTACATCCCAGCTGTCCCGAGCATTCCTAACAATTCCCAATAACGTCTGAGAAAGCATTGCACCGATGGCCAAAAACCCCCAAATTATGGACAACAGGAGGAATCCGTAATTCCTCTTTCAGCACAGCAGGGCAGAGGGAGAGCAGGGATTTCCGTGCACCACCCACGCCGGTAAAATCCCGGGAATGCCCCTTCTGCAGGGAATTCTGCCGGAGGGCGCTGCGGAGGGGGGACTGCTCGGCCTTCAGCCTCTCCTTCGATGCCTCCGTCTTCGTCATCGAGAGCAGCAGGAGAAGGGTGGCCGTGGAAGCGACGCTGGAAAACCGCGGGGAAAATGCCTACAGCACCGTCCTCAACATCTCCTTCTCCAGGAACCTCCAGTTCGCCAGCTTGATCCCCAAGGTGAGCTCCCAGCGGGGGAGATCCGGGATTTTCCAGAGGCGCTGCTGATCCCGGCCGGATGGGAAAGCTGCAGCCTAAAGCAGAGCCCAAATCTGTCTCCGTCCCTCGTAAATCCGAGCTGTTTACGGGCTCCGTTTCGCAGCGCTTCCAGCTCTTTGTTTTGGAAATACAAAAAAGGTTTGAGTTTTAAGAGCCTGAGCGAAGGTCAAACACAGAGGAAATTATTTCCCTCTATTTTTCTCCTGCAGTTGTTTAAAAATATTCCCTGAGCACGGCCAAGTTCCCGTCAGGAATGAATTTTTGCAGCTGAGAAATAACTCCTGGAAGTAGGAGCTGATCCTGGGAATGTGGCCACAGCTCAGCAGCGAGCCGGGCGATGCCACCTCTCCGTGGCCTTCCCTGGATCATCCCCAAGTGTCCCAAAAATGTCACTCCCCCACCCAGTCCATCCTGGAGCAACTCCTCCCTGCTCCCAGCGAGGTTTGGGAATGTGCTGATGCTGCTGAGCCTTCCCTCACCCCCCATGACTTCATCCCAGCCCGCAGATCCCGGCTCCGTTGTTTTTCTCCGAGCCGTGCCAAGGGAAAATTGTGGGGCTGGCTGCCCACAAAAGAAGAAAAATGCATTTTTTTGAGATTATTCTGAACGAAGTGAGGGGAGCAGGGAAAATCCCTGGGATGGTGGGGAACAGAAAGCGGCGGCTGCAGGAATATTTACAGCTGCTCATGGAGGAGTCGTGGATAATGGGCTCCTGGCTTACAAAGCTTACAAAGCTTTGTCCCTCCTTACAAAGGAGCATCTCGTGGTTGGCTGGTTTTGGTTGTTGGTTAGTTTCGGTTGTTGTTTGGTTTCAGTTGTTGTTGATTTCGGTTGTTGGTTAGTTTCGGTTGTTGTTTGGTTTCAGTTGTTGATTTCGGTTGTTGGTTGGTTTCGGTGTCTGGTTGTCGATTGGTTCATTGGTCATTGGCTGGTTGGTTTTTGGTTGGCTGGCCATTAATTGGCCATTGATTGGTCATTAGTTGGCCATTAATTTGCCATTGATTGATTATTGGCAGGCCATTGATTGGTCATTGATTGGTCATTGATTGGCCATTGGTTGGCCATTAGTTGGCCATTGGTTGGTCATTAGTTGGCCATTGATTGATCATTGGCTGGCCATTGATTGGTCATTGATTGACCATTGTCTGGACATTGGTTGGCCATTGGTTGGCCATTGATTGGTTGGTTGTTCCCCCAAAGCCAAGGCCCATTTTGAGCCCCTCAGCCATTCCCAGTTTCCCGAAGAGCCGGCTCCCGGGGCTCATTCCTGGTGTCCTGGACTCTCCGTGTCCCATTTCAGGACGACACCGACATCAACATCGACTGCGCCAGTGACGAGCGCCACCCCAGCAGGAGGGTGTGCAACGTCAGCTACCCCTTCTTCCGAGCCAAGGCCAAGGTAGGACATTCCCGACTTCCGTGGACCTTCCGGGGTCACATCTGGCACATCTGGGCAGCCCTGGACGGGATTTTGAAGATCAACTTTTGGGTTCTTCCCTTCTGGAGTTTGAAAGGAATCTTAGGGAATGGGATGGTTGGGAAAAACCATCGTAGGATGGTTGGGATCCTGCCCCGGTGCCCCAGAATCCAGCCCAGCTCCTCCAGGTGATGGAATTTGCCTCCAATCCTCTGGAAAAATTTAATGTTGGCTTCAAACCACGGATGAGAACTTCCCTCAGCTCATTCCCTGCAGGATGAGGCTCCTTCCCTGCCTGAGAGGTTTTCCTTGCCCTGAGGTGCCTCCGGATCCCGTTTGGAGTCAGCCCAAGCCCCCCTGGGTGGTGGCATCCTCCAAAACGGTGTTCCCGGTATTTGGGATCAGCCCAAATCCGGTGAGAACCGTTTTTATAAGCCATAAACCCTTGGGAAAAAAAATCAGATTCAGGGATAAGGTGGGGGAAGGAAAAGTGGGGAGCTGCAGGTGCTCAGGATCCGTGCAGAATTCCACAGACCAACACAAGCAAGATCTGGAGAGAAAATCTACCCAGCTCCTGTGTCCATCTGAAATTTTTCCATGCCGATGATGGATTTTCAAGGCCTGGGGGGTTTTCCTTGCTCTGAGGCCCCTCTGGATCCCGTTTGGAGCCAATCCAAGCCCTCCTGGGTGGTGGCATCCTCCAAACCGCTGTTCCCGGTATTTGGGATGAGCCCAGCTGATCGTTTTTATAAGCTGTTAATCTTTGGGAAACATTAAATTCAGGGTTAAATTGGGAAAGGAATAGCGGGGAGATCCGCTCGGGATCCGCACGGAATCCCACCTGTCGCCCATGGGAAAAGGGACCAACACAAGCCAGACCTGGAGATAAAATCTCCCCGGCTCCTGTGTCCGCCTGAAACCTTTCCTTGATTATGATGGATGAGCCTCGGGCACCAGGCTCGGCTTTCAGGCTCCCAAAAACCCCGTGGGATGCCTGTGGCTGCACGAGGAGCCGGCTCCCCATGACCGACAGGGCCGGGAATGCGTCCATGGGCCATCAGGTAGCGCCGCTCCTGCCAAGACAAAGACAGGCTGGAAATAAATGGAATTTTGGCTCCGGAGCCGCGGGAGCTTTAATATTCCAGTCAGCTGTGCCGGCCCAGACGGTCTGAGGTCACAGCAGATGTGACATTTATCACATCGATCGCGTTTTATTGGTGTTGGCTCTCTCCGGCTGCCTCCCCTTCCCACCAATCCTGGGCCTCTAGAGGGATCTGATTCCAAAGGGAGCCGCTCCCGTGGCAGGGGCTGAGAGAATTCCTGCCAATCCTCCCTGCCTGGAAAGGCTCTGCTCCATCCCGGTGGGATCAGGAATTGCGTCTCCCACAGGGTTAGTGCTCAGGATTTTATTCCCTGGGATGTTTTTCCCGATGTTTTCCCCCTTTTCCGCAGGTCGCTTTCCGCCTGGATTTTGAGTTCAGCAAGTCCGTGTTCCTGCAGAGCATGGAGGTCTACATGGTAGCCAGCAGGTCTGGGGATGCTTTCTCCCTCTGGAATCACGGAATCATGGAATGCTTTGGGCTGGAAAAAAAGCCCAGCCCTTCCCCCATCCGATCCCAGGGTGTCCAACCTGGGATGCTTCCCTTGGGATTCCTTCCTCCAGAGCCAGAGGTTTTCCATGGAATAACCCCATGGAGTTGCTGTGGGTTATCCCAAACCTGGATATTTTTTGTTTATCCGGGGATTCACATCCATGATTTTTCCGTGCCTGCAGAAGCTCCCACTGCAAATATTTCCCGGGAAAAATATCTCCTAATAATTTTGCAAAGTTCTCCTTCCTCCCCATTCCTGCACAGGTCAAGATTTCCCAAAGGGAAATGCAGGGAAATCCTTCAAAGAAAGGGAAAATCCTGCAAAGAAAGGGAAAATCCTATAAGGAAAGGGGAAAATCCTGAAAAGAAAAGGGAAAATCCTATAAGGAAGGGGGAAAATCCTGAAAAGAAAAGGGAAAATCCTGCTAAGAAAGGGAAAATCCTATAAGGAAAGGAGAAATCCTACAAAGGGGAAATCCTGCAAAGAAAGGGGAAAATCCTACAAAGAAAGGCAAAATTAAATCAGCCTAATATTTATTAAATTTTTAATAAATGAATTAATTAATTTAATTAAAATATATAAATTAATTATTAATTAATTAATTAATTAAATAAATAAATTTAAAATAACATTCCCCAATTATCAGAGCAGAGGATTCCCTGTCCCGCTTTTCCCGGGAGCGCCACCTCCTCCAAAACCTTCATAAAAATCCCGGGAATAAAATCCCGCTTTGGACCAAAAAGCAAAAAAAAAAGAAAAAAAGGTTCAGCATTCCCCCAAAAAAATAAACAACCCCAAAATTCCCGGTGGGATTTGGCTCCTGGCTGAGCCCCGGGCGCTGCTGCCATTGCAGTGACAGCGAGGAGAAGGAAAACACCAAGGAGGACAACGTCGCCCACCTCAACCTCCAGCTCAAGTACGAGGCCGACCTGCTCTTCACCAGGTGAGGGATTTGGGATGGGACACAATTCCCAGGAAATCAGGGATTGGGAAAAACCCCCTTGGGCCTCCAAACCGAGGATTCGGGGGATTTATGGAAAAAACAGGAGCCATAAAGTGAGGGCTTCGTATAAAATTCCCTAGCCGTGAGGAGCTGGATTCTGCCGATGTTAAAAGGTATAAATTTCGTTAAAGAGGTGTGAGGGTGAGTTTTTATGGGGAAAAAAAAAAAAAGGGAATTCTTGGAGGGAATAATGGCCATAACAGGTGTTCTGGCGTCTGGGCCGGCAGCCATCCCACAAAACCATCAGAGGGGAGCTCAGCTGCGGGATGAGCACGGAATCATTGGGAATTCAAGTCTGGAAAAGCCAGGGATGAAGGCAGAGATAATTTAGGAAGCTGCTGATGGGAAAATCAGGGATCCCAGAGCACATTCCCTGGCGCTGCTTGCTGGAATTTTTAGGGGATTTTTCAGCCCTTCAGTCATTTAATATTTTTTTTTTTATATTTTTTTCCCCCTCAGACGCCATGGATAAAATTCCTTTAATATTTAGGATTTATGGGAGTGAGGGGATTCTCCGGTTCGGAACGAAGGGAAAAGTTGGAGGGGAAAAAAAAAGAGCACAAAAAAATATGGAATTTGGGAATTTTGGAGTGAAAAAGGAGGGAGAGAATTTTAAGGAATGTGGGGGTTTGGGGCCATCGCAGGTGCTCCGGAGTGGGTTCCAATATTGCAAAGAATGGGAAAATCCTACAAAGAAAGGGAAAATCCTGCAAAGAATGGGAAAATCCTACAAAAAACGGGGGAAAACCCTGCAAAGAAAGGGGAAAATCCTATAAAGAATGGGAAAATCCTACAAAGAAAGGGAAAATCTTATCAAGAATGGGAAAATATTGCAAAGAAAGGGGAAAATCCTACAAAGAAAGGGAAAATCCTACAAAGAATGGGAAAATATTGCAAAGAAAGGGGGAAAACCCTGCAAAGAAAGGGGGAAACTCTGCAAAAAAAAGGGAAAATCCTGGGGGAAAACCCTGCAAAGAAAGGGGGAAACTCTGCAAAAAAAAGGGAAAATCCTATTAAAAAAGGGAAAATCCTGCAAAGAAAGGGGAAATCCTTCAAAGAAAGGAGAAAATCTTGCAAAAAGGGGGAAAATCCTACAAAGAATGGGGGAAAATTCTGCAAATCCTTCTGTCACCGCTTCTCCCACAGGACGTCGAGCCTGGACTATTTTGAGATCAGATCCAACAATTCCCTGGATTCATCCAACCCCATGGGCCCCCCCTTCCACTGCACCTTCACGGTGAGCAGGAATCGCATCCCTGGGATCTCCTGGATTTGGGATCTGCCCCGGGAGATCCCCATCCCATGATCCCGACACATCCCTGCACTCTTCCCCGGCAGCTGCAGAACCTGGGATTCTTCCCGGTGCAAGGCTTGACCCTGAAGATCACCGTGCCCGTGGCCACCCGGGCGGGCAACCGGCTCCTGCTGCCCACGGAATTCCGGGCGGATCAGGTAGGACGGGATTCTGGTTTAGGGTGGGATTCCAGCCTGGTTTAGGATGGGATTCCAGCCCGGTTTAGGATGGGATTCCAGCCTGGTTTAGGGTGGGATTCCAGCCCGGTTTAGGGTGGGATTCCAGCCCGGTTTAGGATGGGATTCCAGCCTGGTTTAGGATGGGATTCCAGCCTGGTTTAGGATGGGATTCCAGCCCGGTTTAGGGTGGGATTCCAGCCCGGTTTAGAATGGGATTCCAGCCTGGTTTAGGATAGGATTCCAGCCCTCCAGCCCCATCCCACAGCGAGCCAAACTCAATCCCAGCTCCAGCAAATCCTGGGGGGTTCTGAGAATCCCCAATTCCATCGGGATGCGAGCACAGGGAAGCCACTACCACGACCCCTGTGTCCATACTGGAATTCCATCGGCTTCTCCCACAGGAAAACACCACCTGCAGCATCTGGGGGAACACCACTGACTACCGGAGAACCCCAGCGGAGGAGGACCTGTCCCGCACCCCACACCTGGTACCTCCACGGGGCTGATTCTGCCTCCAGGATACCCCAAAAACAGGGAAAAACCTGGAACAGGGATGGCCCATGGATAAAAACTCCAGATGCTGGAATTTTCAGGAGATTTTTAAGCCCTTCGGTCGATCTCTTTTTCCCCTCAGCCAAATAAATCCCGTCGACACTCGGGATTTACGGGGAGGGATTTTCCAGCTCGCAGAGATCGGGATCGTTTTTTCCCAAGTGAAAACTGGGAGGGAAAGAACAGCACAAAACCCAGCAGGACTGGGAAGCTCGGGGTGAAAAAAGGGGAGGAAATTTGAAGGCTGTGAGGATTTGGCGGCGCAGGAGGACAGAGATACGGGATTTCCCTCCCTCAGTGCTTGCCAGGGATGAATCCCGGCGGGATTTTCCCTCCTTTTCCAGCCACAATCCCACATTTCCTTTTGCAGAACCACAGCAACTCGGACGTGGTTTCCATCGACTGCGAGGTGAAACTGGCCCCCAACGAGGAGCTGAACTTGCACTTGCGTGGAAATCTCTGGATGAAGTCTCTGAAAGCAGTGAGTGCTCCACGGAAAACGTGGATTCCCGGGAAAAATCCCCCAAAAAGGAACCTTTACACCCCAAAAGTTTGGGATTTCTCCCATCCCCAGGGTAGCCCAGGCATGCACGGGGTGATTTTCGCTCCCACGGCCTCTCCCCCTAGGGGATTGTGCACCCACAGCTCCTCGCCGTGGATTGTTTCATTCCATAATTAACTAATTCATGCAGATTTAATTAACCTAAAACCTCCTTTTTAATTTAATTAACCTAAAACCTCCTTTTTGCTGTCCTTTCGCCCCGCTCCTTGCCTGCCCTGCATCCTCCTCTCCCATGGGGGCAGACAGAATCCCTTTGGATTGGTTGATCCGTGGGGATGGGATGGATCCCGTTGGGAACGGGGGCTCCTGTTCCGTGTGGGATGAGCTGATCCCAGCCCTCTCCGTGCAGCTGAAGTTCAAGGCACTGAAGCTCACCACCAACGCCGCGCTCCAGCGGCGCTTCCAGAGCCCCGTGGTTTTCCGGGAGGAGGATCCCAGCCGCCAGGTGAGCCCCGGGATACGGATTCATCCCAGAGTTTTGGGGCGCTGCCACACCCTGATCCCGCTGGGAAAATCCCTGTGGATGGAGGGACCCAGGTGTGGAGGAGCTCGGTCAGAGCTGAGCTCTGGAATCTCTGGATTTCCGGGAAAACCAAGCTGGATCCTTCGGCGCAGCATTCCCGAAGGAAGGGGTGCTCGGCATTCCCGCTCTCCCCTTCTCCTGCTGCTCCTGCCTGGAATCCTCAGCGTTTTCTCTCCTCCAGATCACGTTTGAGATCTCCAAGCCTGAGGAATGGCAGATTCCCATCTGGATCATCCTCGGGAGCACCTTGGGAGGTCTCCTGCTCCTGGCCCTGCTCGTCCTGGCGCTCTGGAAGGTGAGCAGCGCTCAGGCCGCGCATTTTGGGGGAATTTTGGAGATTCCCAGGCGTGAGGAACCCTCTGGATCCGTGTCCGGCGCTCCTCGGCGCCACCAAGAATCCCAAAATCTCCTCCAAAACCCCTTTTTTCCGTATAAACGATATCCAGGACCAACTTCCAGCTGATTTCCCATCCGGAGCTCCTGGGATAACGGTGGGATTTTGTTTCTCTTCCCACAGCTCGGGTTCTTCAAGAGCGGGAGCCGCCGGCGAGCGGCAGAGCGGGAGCGGAATTCCCAAGGGATGGAGTGACTCTGCCGGGGCCAGGAGCCCCCTCCCAGCTCCGGAGATTCCCGGGATCCCGAGGGATTTGGGGGCTGAGCTTGGCTTTGCAGCAGGAGGAGAGAACGCCCCTTGTGGGACAGCACTTAAAAGCCATAAAAAAACCCTCAAACCAACTGAAATTCCCCCAAAAAAAACTCCTGGGAGGCGCTTCCAGCTGGGATTCCATAAAAAACCCCTCAAACCAACCGAAAATTCCCAAAAAATCTCCTTGGAGGAGCTTCCGACTGGAATTCCATAAAAAACACCTCAAACCAACCGAAAATTCCTAAAAAATTCTCCTGGGGGATGCTTCCAACTGGAATTCCATAAAAAAAAACCCCCTCAAACCAACCGAAAATTCCCAAAAAAATCTCCTTGGAGATGCTTCCAACTGGGATTCCATAAAAAAAGCCCTCAAACCAAGCAAACATTCCCCAAAAACCTCCTCAGAGGAGCTTCCTGCTGGGATTCCATAAAAAACCCCTCAAACCAACCGAAAATTCCCAAAGAATTCTCCTGGGAGCTGCTTCCAAGCGGGATTTCTCCGAGGCAGCAGCAGCGGTGACGAGGGGACACCGACGTGAGGGGTCCCTGATGCGGGGCTGGAAAACTCCTTAAAATTTAATAATATCCCAAAAAAAACCCCCATGGATTGCTCCTTCCCGTGGCGGAGCTGTGGCGAATCCTGGGCTCTGCTGGCCACGGCTCTCAAACTGCCCCTTCGTTAAGCGGAGTAATTAAGCGGAGGCGTTAATTAGTCTGAATGCACTGAACGAAAAATCTCGTGATTTCAAGCACCTTAAACGCCAAAATTCCAGCTGTACATAATTCTTCTGGAAATGGGAAGGAAAGGAGGAAAAAGGAAAATAAAATAGTAAAAATCTTGGGGAAAAAAATTAAATTCTAAATACTTTTTTAAAAAAAAAATTAAAATTTTTAATAATTAATAAATTTTTAGAAGTTTTTTAAAATAATTTTTCGATTTTTTTCTTTACATTTTTAATTTTTTAAAAGAAAATAAATTTTTAATAATTAATAAAAAAATCTTTTCAAATTTTTAATAATTTTTAATTTTTCTTTCAATTTTTAAATAAATTTTTAATTTACATTTTTAATAATTCATAAAAATATTTTTAATTTTAAAAATAATTTTTCAATTTTTTCTTTCAATTTTTAAATAATTTTTAAAATTTAAATTTTTAATAATTAATAAAAAAAGATGTTTTAATTTTTTAATAATTTTTCAATTTTTTCTTTAAATTTTTAAACACTTTTTTTAAAAAAAATTACATTTTCAATGATAAAAATTTTTTTACACATTTTAAAATAATTTTGCATTTTTTAAAAAAAAAAATTTAAATAATTTTTTTAAATTTAAAATCTTTTTTAAAAATTAATTAGTAAAGCAGTTTGATGAGTTTTGTCCCAGCAGAGCAGTTCGGGGGAGCCCACCTGTATCATACCTGTACATAGCTGGTGCCATGGAAATCATGGAATTTTGAGGGCGGGAATACGCCCTCAGCATAGCGGAATTATTTATGCTAATATTAATTTTATGGAGAAGAGGGAAGCGGAAGGTTCTGGATGCGGGATGAGCTTCAGGAAATACTTTTCCTGGTATTTTTTAAGGAATAAAAATACGGTATTTTAAAAATTCCTGGTGTCCTGTTTCCTTTTTCCCGGGATCGGGGTGGGGGAGGATAAATCCTGGAATTTTTCCATCATTTCTTTCCATGGGATGCGAGGTTTTCCCAGGTTTTTGAAAGGGATGCGCTCGGACGGGATGAGTCGAGCGGAGCCTTTGGGAGACCCAAACTTTGTATAAAACAGGATTAAAAAATTATTCCCAGATGAGATTTTCCATCCTCACCTGGAGCGGGAATTCTGCGTTTCCCAGGTTTTGGTGGATTGGGAGCTCCGGGGTCCGGCTGGGGTGCAAGGATTCCCCGGAGAGCCCAAATCCTGGGATTCCCATCCAAGGAGGAGCCGGGGATCCCTGAGCTCAGCCCACGGGATCCTGCCCTCATTCCCTCCCACATTCCTGGGATTTGGATCCCGGCACACGGAGGGAAACAATCGGAGACCAGCCAGGAACAGGCAGCATCCTCCATCCCGGCACACGGAGGGAAACAATCGGAGACCAGCCAGGAACAGGCAGCATCCTCCAGGATTTCTTATAAAAATATAAATATAAATATAAATATAAATATAAATATAAATATAAATATAAATATAAATATAAATATAAATATAAATATGTTTTTCAAATAAAATTATATTATATATAATATATATAATTATATATTACATTATATGTTTTTCAAATAAAATTATATTATATATAATATATATAATTATATATTACATTATAATATATGTATTATGTAATTATAATTTTATATTTCTATATAAATTTATATATTTTTATACCTATATATGTTTATATATACATTTTAATATATTTTATTTATGTAAATATAGAATATATAGAAATATTTTACCTAATAGGTAATACATAAATATATTCATATATATTTATATTTTTTGTTTATATTTTATATGTGCACATATATATTTTAATATATTTATATATTATTATTATAATGTGCATATATGTATATATTATATATAGTATATAGAGTATAGTACATAGTGTATACAATATAATATATAATATATAACATATATAGTATATAGTATATAGTATATAATATATATCTGATGTCTATTATAAAATATATCTATAATTTATATTTTATATATATGTATATATATGTATAATGAATATGTATTTTCTCTTACTCATATCTATATATGTATAAAAATATAATTTAGATATATATTTATCTATTTATTACCTATATATATAAAAATTTATTATCTATATTTTTATATATAAAAATTTATTATCTACTTATATATATATCTATATATATCCATATATATCTATATATCTATATATATCTATAAATCTATATATAATCTATATATCTATATATATCTATATATAGATATATGTAGATATATAAATATATATATAGGTATATAGGTATATAGATATAGAGATACATATAAAAACAAAACATGTATGATAGATCTATTTTATAAATATAAAATATATATTTATATATAAATAGAAAATATATATTATATATAAATAGAAAATATCTATAAATAGAAAATATATATTATATATAAATACAAAATACATATTTTTATATAAATGTAAAATATATAAAAATATAAAATATATATTTTATATAAATATAAAATACATAAAAATATAAAATAAATATTTAAACTGCCAGGAATTTCCTTGCTCCTTTGGACTCCTCAGCAAAATGCCACCTTCCACCATCCCAGGTTGCTCCAAAGCTTTCCTTGGACAACCCCAGGGATTCCAGAGATCCCAGAAAACCGAACCCAGACCCCAAAACTTCTCCCTCCGAGCGACACAAACCCTGTGACGAAAACAAAACCACAGGAATCCCAAACTAATTCCACATTCAATGTTTATTTCTTTGTCGTACAAATAGAAACGCGTGCCCCCAAACCTCGCCTCAAAATTCCACCCGGATCCTTGGTTTTTTTTTTTTTGTAAAAACAAAACCAAACAAGAACCAAAAAAAAATAAAACCCAAAAAAAACCCCCACGGAACATTCGTTCATCCTGACAGTTCCAAAGGAACAGAGGCTCCGGGAGCCTTGTCCCAACATTTCCCCGTCGGAGCATCCGCCGCTCCTCCCAAAGTTCTCCGGCCACGACGTTCCCGTACAATCGCTCGCTCATCAAGAGCTGGATGAAGAGGAGAATTATTGATTTCATCATAAAAATCAAGTTTTTAACAAGAGATTCATTAATTTCTTTTTTTATTTTATTCCCCCCCACCATACCCAAAGGAGTAAAAACCCATGAAAAAAAAAATCCTCGAGTCCGATTCGGGGGAGGCACAGATTCCAACGCTTCTTGGAAAATCCGGGTTCAAGGAAGACTCTCTTTGGCGGCAGACGGCTCCGTCGGGAAGATTCGGAATCCACGAGTGCAGCCGGACAGACTTTGAGCCAAACAAACAAAAACAAAAAAAAAACCAAAAAAAACCAAAAAAAACAACGAAAAAGGTGCGTGTTGAGCGTCGAAACGACGGAGAAAAACCCCGAGTTAAAAGCGGTTTTGAAATGTTGGGACACACACAAACGCAAATTCCCTACCCAGTTTCTAGGGATCCATGCATGATGTTTGGATAGGAGCGACGGAAGAGCAGGAAAAGAAACGATGATTCCGGTTTTTTGCGGTCGGCACCAAAGTTTGGTGGGGTTTTTTTTTTTTTTTGGTTTTTGGGGTTTAATTTTTTTTTTTAAGTCCGTAGGTGATTCAAAACTTACTGGAGCAGCGGGAATCGAGAGCTCGCTGACGGAATTCAACCCCTGGGAGCTGAATTTCCACCCGGATTTCCTAACGGAGCATCCCTTGCGTCTGCAGCTGCTGAGAATCGCTGCCCAAAAGGGAATTTTGGATGGAAACGGGGATTTTAAAACGTTACTGCCGTCCTCAGCGCCGGCTGAAAGGCAAGAAAGCGCGGCGAGGTACGGGAGAACCCTAACCCGACCGCCGCAGAATTCCCGGGTTTTCTTCTCCCGCCTCACGGCCGGGAGTCGGAAATCCCATCCCGCGAATCGCGCCGGGCACGAAAACGTCCGGCGGGATTCACCTGGGGGATTCTTCTCGTGTTGCTTAGAAAACAAAAGAGCTAACGAAGGGATTCCTTTAATTAAAATAAAATAAAAAAGAAAGGGACCAGAATCTCAACCATCGGGTTCAGCCAGAGGACAACGACGTGGCGTTTCCTGCCCCCGCCCCCTCCACCACCTCCACCCGAGAACCGAGGCCGCAGACGGAATCCAGAGGAACCCAAAACCAAAGGGATGGAGAAAAAGGATTTCATGGACACGGGTGTGTTCTGCTGTCTGCTGTTGTCCCGGGATAGCACCACCACGAAAGGTCGGAGGCGGCCTAGTGGAACTGGACAAACTCCTCCAGAGTTCTGGGGATCTGGTTTTGGTAGCTGATGTTGTAGATCCGCACGGCGCGGGCAGCCAGGCACTTGAGACTTAGCTTCATTTGAGTTTTAAGGAGGATTTCCGACACCCCGGTGGTGCTTTTATCCAGAGGGGTTTTCTTCTGCTTGTTGGTCATGTCCGTGTGGGCGCCGGCCTCCACCAGGCTGATGATGATGGAGTGCAACGTCAAGAAGTCGCTGATGGGCCGGTGGTACTGCACGATGATGTGCAGAGGGCTGTTCCCCTCGTTGTCCACGGCGTTGACGTCAGCACCGCAGTCCAGCAGGAGCTTGGTGACCAGAGCGTTGGGGAAGCTGCAGACGTCGTTGGTGTGGAAGTCGTCGACGGGCGTGCCCGAGTTGACGGCGTGGTGCAGCAGGCTGGAGCCGTCACGCGTGCGCGGGTCCAGGTGGATCAGGTTGTAGATCTGCTTGTTGATGCGGGACTGGTCCTCCTCGCTGCACTGCGTCTTGGTGGAGATGCACACCAGGTAGAGGAAGGTGAAGATGTTGCACTCGTAGTTGTCCGTGGCCGTGTGGATGTCGGCGTCCGGGGTGGTTTTGATGCGCGCCATGCCCTGCTCAATCTCCAGCACGCTGCAGCGCAGGACGCTCTCGATGTCCTTGGCCTTCACGGGCTCGTTCAGGTGGATCATCTGCGAGAAGACCTGAGCGAACCTCAGCAGGTCCTTGTGGGTGTTCCTGTTGCCTTTCTGCCGCAGGTGCAGCGCGTGGAGCCACAGCTTGATGCACTGCTCGAACTCCATGTTGTCGGCGTAGACCGCGCCCCGGTAAATGATGGGGTGGGAGACGTCGATATTGTCCGAGCCCAGGATTCTCTCCCGCACTATCAAGCCTTCCATGTGAAGGGCGTCTCTGTCCTGCCTAATGGACTCTAATTCCTGAGGGGTCCTGCATTCTGACCTGTTTCCGTACGCCTCGATCTGGGGGAGCACCTCCTTCTCGATGACGTTCTCGCTGTCGCGGTACCTCTCCAGCATGGCCAAATATAAATAGTGGTAAGTCTTCAAAATGTCGTAGTTCTCCCTGTCGTTGGCAAATGAGGCCCCCAGCAGCTCCAGAGCTTCGATCCTGCTCCTCCTGTCGCAGTCGGCGTGAGCCAGCAGCAGCTCCACCACGTCGGCCTTGCAGCTCTCGGCGGCCACTTTGAGCGGCGTCATGCCGTGCCCGTTGACCATCATGGCCGCCTTCCACTTGACCAGCTCCCTGACGATCTCCAGGTGGCCGGCCTCGGCAGCGAAGTGCAGCGCGGTGGCCCCGCAGTGGGCCTTGGCGTTGGGGTCAGCGTGCTGCTCCAGGAGGTAGCGCACCACGTCCGTGTGGCCCTTGTAGGCCGCGATCATCAGGCAGGTGTTGTCGTACTTGTTGGCGATGCTGATGTTGGCGTTGTTCTCCACCAGGTACTTGACGATGTCCAGCCGGCCATCGAAGCAGGCCGCCCGCAGCGGCGTCGAGTTGGTCACCGTGGTGTGGTTGACGTTGGCGCCGTGGCTCACCAGCAGCTTGACCACCTCGAAGTGGCCGGCCCCGGCTGCGCACCACAGCGCGGTGGCCCCGTCGATGACGAAGCTGAGAAGGGGAAGACGGGGACAGGGAGTTAGGTCGATGCTCTTCCGAAAGCTTCCCGCACCCAGCCACCGACGGGGATTTCCCAGCCAGCCCTGGATTTCCAGGAACTCGCCGGGACGAGGCCGAGGGAGCGCACGGAGCGTTGGAAGTCGGAGCTCCGAAGGGACCAAAGGGGTTTGGCCACCTCCAAGATCCCACTTACAAAACTCCAGCCTTGGTTTGGAGAGCTCTGGGAAGAAGAGCTCTAAAGGATCCCTTCGGTGCCACCGAGTGACACATTCCAGACCAAGAGAAACCTTCAAATGGACATTTTGGCACAAAAAAACCTCCCAGATTTAATCACCAGCAACAGCCCTGGCTTCAGAATTTCCCATCACTTCCCCTTTCCCCTCTCCCCGAGCTGCCGATCGAGGTCCCGCACCCTGAACCATCCTGGCAACCACAGAAGGAACCTCGGGAAGAAAATAAAAAGCTGAAAAAGCAGAAGTTGTGAGCTGGGCTGTTCCACAGATCCGCGTGGCCCTGCAGATAATGGGGAAATGAGGGGACACATCCCCTTTTTTCAAGCTGTTTTCATCCCCTTAACCCCGCAGGTAAAATAAAGGATTTGTTTTTGCCATTCCTGGGTTTTTGAAGGATTTAAATGAAGAAACAAACGGGCAGGATTCACACACACACCCCCCAAGGCACGTCCCGAACACACAAGAGGGAGAAATATTTCCAAACAGCCACGTTCCCCGAAGTTAAAATATCCTTAAGATCAGAATTTCACTTTCATTTTTAATTTTTAATCATTTGGTGAAGCCCTCGTAGCTCCACAGTGACTGTTTGTAAATCCAACACCTCCAGAGGCTCTTTAAGATCCCGGAGAGAATTCCCAGTGGGAAGTTCCTCATTTTGGATGCAATCCCATGAAAATATTCCCGTCTCAAAGCAGGAGGAGAGGCAGGAGGGGGGATTTTTTACCAACTCGAGGGGATTTTTTTTGGTGTTTCAGGGTTCCAAGTAGAAAGCCCAGAGGAGAGGAGCTGCTGAGCCACCTCATCCGACAATCCTCGGGAATCACGTGGGCTCTGCTCCTCTCTCTGCATCCACTGTGCCTCCGACAGCTCCTCCTTCCATCTGTGCCAGGCACAGCCTCTGGAAAACACATCCCCACCCCAGCCAGGCACAAATCCAGCGTCTGCTGCCGGTCAGGGGGCCCTTCCTCCAGGAATTCTCACCCCAGGAATTCTCAACCTGCTCTCAAACGGGAGAAAAAAACCCCAAAAACCCAAAGAGCAGGAAGGGAAAAGGAAGGAATTAAAATCCAACCGCACAGGGAAGTGGTTTGTGAAAACTGAGTCACCTGCAGAGGCAAAAACGTCCCAGAAAGGGCACTCTGGCCCAGCAGAAGCTCCCTGGGCTGTGAATATTGTCCTGTCCACATGGGGAATTCCTAAATGGAAAATTTATGGCTCGGAATGCATCAGGTGGGACCCAAAACCCACGTGGTGTTTAGGTGGGGATGTTGTGAATTCATTCCCAAGCCTGGCAGCCTCCCCTGTGGGCCTGGGAAAACGGGAGAGCAGATCTGACTTCCCAAAAAAATCCTGGAAATGTTTTCAAACAAATCCTGGAAGCTCTGCAGAGGGCAGGGAAGCGATCACAAATGGCAGGACAGCCTTGGAAGGGACCCACCAGGGCCATCAAATCCCAGAACGCTGAGCTGGACGGGGCCTACCAGGGCCACCAGATCATGGAACAGCCTGAGCTGGGACCACAAGGACATCGAGTGACAGAAAACTGAGCTGAGAACCACCAAGACACTGAATAATCAGAGCTGGGACCGCAAGGACCACCAAATCACGGAATCCTGAGCTGGAAGTTATCCACAAGGTCCACCAGGTCATGGAACAGCCTGAGCTGAAGAGAGTCACAAGCACCATCAGGCCACAAAACCCTGAGCTACAAGGACCCTGCAAGGACCAGCAGGTCATGGAACAGTCTGAGGTGGGACCACAAGGGCCAGCAGGTCATGGGATAACCTGAGGTGGAAGGGCACACAAGGCCATCAAGTGACACCATCCCGAGCAGGACAGGCCCACAAGGCCCACCAAGAACAGTCCCAGCTGACAAGAACCCACAAACACCACAGAGCCACAGAACCCAGAGCTGTAAGAACCCCACGAGCACCGCCAGCTCCGGGAACACTCAGCTCCGGAGCCAGCCCCAGCAAGGCCCAGCACCGTGCGAGCTG